CCTATTTTAAGCCTCCTCGGGTCGTCTCAGCCCTTGGCCCTTCTTGTCGCAGGGGTCTGAAACCCACTTCCGTATCAACGTTGCTGGGCGTGTGATACGCTGCGGTGTACGCGGGCTGGCTAGGCGGACACTGCCGTGCGTGTTGACGTGTACTGCGCACGCCTACACGCATGACTGAGCTTGACTGCCGAGTACTGGCAACACACACACGCACCGCTGGGCGTGCAGACGTTGCCAGCCTACCCGCTGGGACCGCCGGACGTGCCGTGCGCACGCTGTGTGCTGACTGGCATCATGGTCGGCCTTTCGTCGGCCGTCCAACTACTTTTTCTGGCAACCCACATATGACTGATCATAAAATGACTTGAAATGACTAATTATACATAAATTGCTTGGGACTTGCCGGTTCAATTTTGAAATCACTCGGGAGGGCTTATATAGCACCTCCGAGTACGTTTTCGTTCAAAACATAAATCGAACGACATGATTTTGACATGACCTTACTATCATGGACTTAATCACATGAAAAGAGGGTAAATAGAGGTATACCCTTCAGTTCGGACGAGAATTGCACGATGGCTTGCGTGCGTATCCAATGCTCGAACGTATGCGTACTTACTTCCCTTCTGCTTCGACCTCCCTTGGCTATTTTTATATGAATTTTCTATAATATTATCCTCACTATTTTCCCTCAGTACTGGGCTGATAATGTGTTCGGTTTCTTGCGTGAAAATGCATGAAAATGCATTGTTGAACATGTACATATATACATAATAAAAGAGGGAAACAAATCTTGGTCAAAGGAGTGATGGATGATGATTTCTCCCTTGATGACATGTGTCTCAGCCGTGTGCTGAGGTGTCTTATGCTCGGCTTAGTCATCACCGAGTTGGCGCGCTTACATGGGCTTAGTCATCGCCCGTGAGCTCGTGTGACGCCATATGTGCAAGCTAGTAGGTGCGTCACCACACAACTTGAACACCAATTTTTATCCCATAGTAAATCCTCACGGCAATTACTAAAGGGGATTTCTTGGGTTAGCTTAACATTGATCATGAAGATTAGCTTAATATAAGCTATTGATGGGCAGTACTTAGTGTCGCGCGTGCTATGCACGGCAACTTGCACTACGCACGGTTGCGCGCGCATACTCGCATGCTAATGCCCGGCATGCGTGCTATGGAGTGCACCTCCATGACTTGAACAAGAATTTGATCTCACATTAAATCTGAACATTCTTGACTTTCAATAATTAATTCCGATTGATAATGTCCGTTTACAAAATAAACGGTTCAGAAATTAATTACCGACTTGGACTTGGTTAATAAATAACCGAATAGACTTTCGACTTAAAGTAAAACTTGATTAACTTAAATGCTAAAACTGAACGGGATTAATAAAAGAAATACATCACTTTTATTAATACGAAACTGGGTTATTACAACCTACCCGCCTTAAAATATTTTCGTCCCCGGAAATATACAATTGAACATATATACATGATACAAGAAAAGTATATACA